GGTAAGTCATCTTATTAATTTATAACACGAAAAATGTTTTAAGTCTAGTCTAGAGGTGGCGTTGGGGGGGAGCGAAAGATGCAATCGCACATGACCTCCAAAATTTTTTGGTATCTTATATTTATATATAACAATGTTATATATTAAAAAAAATACTTTTATTAGCACTTTAAAATCTTACAGTGCACTTGTCACTTAGTATTACGATCTAGTGGTAGTTCTCTTCACTGGTAAGTGAGATGTCTTAGGTTCGATTCTCACCAAAGGTGAATTTGAATCACATGATTGTTAGCCCATTATGAGGCTTAGCCCGCTCCCCCACCCCTTTAGTGTAGTAATATCGTTTGTTAAAAAAAAAAAAAATATCTTATAGTGCATTTTTATAAGTTTAATTTTTTTTCTTTCTAAATATAAAAATTTGGAGTATATAATGATATATTAGGAGTGCCAATAACAACACCTTAAAAACGATTTTCTTTTCAATTTTATTATATAATAATGCTATAGATTGAAGTGAAACATTAAAGTTAGAGTTTTTGAAGGCTTTTTTTCTTTATTTGGTTGCTTAAGTTGAACTGATTTTGATTATTTAGTGAAGGTTAAGTTTGTAACTCTTTTTACTTATTTAATGACACTTGTAAACTTACAATCAATGAGTCCTTACTGTTGTTTTGATTTAAGTTATTATTTTCTAGTACCAATATATTGTCCTACTTAATAATAATAAAAAAAAACTATCTTAAAAATGGGTCATTTTATAAATTTCGCACATAATCCTTAAAATCTCAAAGACAGCCCTGGTCTAGTCTCGTACGTGGTAGTGTAACTGATTTCCAGTCGTGAATGCATGCACTCATCGTTTAGCATTTGTGGCACCTATCTGTCTGCATGATCTCAAGTTGAATTAGTGCACAATTAATATAATTTTTTAGCTCATGACTCAAGCTTAAGACTAGTGTACACGAATTGTGTTTGACTTGACGACAGGCTTGGTTCTTGAGTTGAAAAATGAGAAGACTCCCATGACATGCAAAAACACCAAAGTCCTTGAATTTGATAGGATCAAACTCACGATGACAACAACTATTGATACTTATCTTGTGAAAATACAGAATGTCAATTTCATCAGATATTGGAAATATTTTATTTGCACTGAATTTGTGCACTACAATATTCCACCTTCAACTTTTGCTAGCGGAGTAAAAATCAACCCAAAATTTTCTCATACTTTGGTCGCATATATATATATGAGTAGATTTTATATTATATATTTTACCCTTTTCTTAGTATATTTTGGTTAATATTTTGGAAGAATTTTGATACTTTGAATTGTATTTTCAATATAGGACTTTCGACTTCCTCTGGCGTAAAGCATGACCAAATGGACGAATTTTGGAGTAATTCCAGTTGGAGGACGTTCGTGAGTTACTTATCTTGATCGTATCAAAATTTGGGATTTTTCCACTAAGCGGTTATTTTCTGGTGATGGAATAAAGAAGTAATGCACAGTGCTGGAAAATGACGTTTTTGGGCTTAAATTGTGTTTTTTGAGCCCGAAATGACCTCTGATGGGTTCGTGGCCTTCTGGAGAAATATTCAGAATATTCCAAACATTAAATCCAGCTATATTCGGCCAGTTTTGGAGCAGCTTATGGGTCCAAAACGTGGCTGTTCAGATTTTAGGCGAATTTTACCATTTAATTTAGGATTATGTTTCCTATTTTATTTGATTCTTATTATTAGTTTCCTAGTGGGAATAAAGGACCTGTTTTTAGGGTTTTTGTGGGGGCTTAGCAGATATATTGCTTAGCCGTCTACAAGTTTTGACTACGCTTGTTTTTATGAAACTTTGGAAACAGAAAGAATTGCGAGGGTTCTTGAAGATTTTCTACTTGGAGGTGTTTTTATTCTTATTCATTTTAATGATATTTCCTTTGATTTTTATAATGAGTATACGTAACTAATTCTTTTGCTAGGGTTAGGCCATGAACCTTAGCAAGAATATGTAGTTTTATTAATTTGCTTATGAACGGATGCATGCTTGCTTTGAATTATTAATGTTTGCGGTTAAGACTATCTATATATTTTAATGATTGATCACCATTAGGGAATTTAGACAAGTAATTTGATGCAATTTTTGTTGGAACATCACCCTGAAATTGAGAAGGGCTTCTTATGATTAGTAATTGTAAGTTCACTTAAGGCGAACATCACGCTCTTAAGGGTTACATGGTTTTTCAAAGGGTTTTCACGAAGTTTAGTGAGTCTTGCTTGTTTATATTTGATTTGAACATCACAAACGGATTGCATGCTAAATATACGTTTTTGCTTGAATATCACAAGGAAAATATGCATTAGGAAAACCTAACCTTCAAAGCATGGATGTGGAAATTCATAAGTAATTGATAGAATTACATAGGATTGTGACGGTAACGGCTAAACCCTAGTCTTTCCCTAAATTGATTTTCATAAAAACAAACAAAAAACGTTTTTATTTTTTTCTGTTTGCTACCTTTATTTTCTAACTTCTAGGTTTCTTTAACTGTTAATTCAATATTTTCAAACTCAAACATCTCAAATCTTTGATAAAAATCTGTTTTAATGGTTAATTAAGAGTTGATTTAATTACGAATTAGTCAAACAATCTTTGGGGACAAAAACCTTGCATAAGCAATTATACTACAATTACCTTGTATTCTTGCAAGTATTTTCAGTGATTTTAACCCTCTTGCGCAGGTATAAAAAAATCCTATCATATATATATATATATATAATATATATTATTTTTCACTATATAAGAGTAATGTTAGGGATAACACATTTTTGTACCACATTTGACAAAAAAGGCATATAACGAACATATAATAAGATAAACTCATAAATTGACATAACACATATACATCACATGTCATACCAGGTGGTACGATAGTGCATACAAAATTGTGGTCACTATCGTATTTTTTTTTTCATTACAAAAAAGTTTAGGGGGAGGGGAAGCGACCCCATCTCAGGACCAGCACATACCACAAGTCTCTTAAAACTTAGGCCATGTTCAAAAGAAGGGCTAAACACAATCCCTTCAATAATTTATTAGTTTTAGAGATTGTCATTAAAATTCATAATTTCTTTGACCTATCTGCATAATCATTGATGACCAAATGGCCCTTGTTTTGTCAACAAAACTAACAAGAAAAACACTCGATAAACTATTGCTCAATAAAAAAGAGAGACTTTGAATGCGGTCCATAACTATCAATGTTTTTTTACTGAAACCTTGTTGGTTTTCAATTTTTGGTCGAAGTCGTTGACATTAATGTAATAATATATTTCCATATATGTTACTATTTTTTTTAAATGGGTCATTTTGGTTCTAGTCCCTAATCAATTTAATTGTTAGACTGAAACCTTATTTATTTAAATATTTTGATCGAGGTCCTTAACATCATTTAAGAGATTTAACTCATGCTTTTATACATTTAATGTCCCACAAATTATGAAATGTAAAAAAATTCAAATAATATTTTTAAAATATAATAAATACTTGAAAATAAATATTAGAGTAATATTGTTCTTCACAAAATTATAGCAAGAAAATAATGTACTCACATAATTATTAACATATTTTAAAAAATAACTGATGATATATTTTAAAACATAAATTAAATACATATAATTAGCAGGTTACATTTAGCAAAATTAAAAAGGGTACAAATAAAAACAAATATGGTTACAAATACAAATAAAATTTTAAAGCATATGAGCACAAAAAGAAATTAATATATGGGTGCAAATTAAAACTGAAATGAAAATTCATACAAATTAAAAAAGGGTTACAAATTAAAAATGGGTACAAACTAAAAATAAAAAATATATGATAAAAAATTTAGCCATAAATATAAATATACCAAATGTAACATTTTTTAACACTAAATGAAAATATTTAGAAATAAAAAATATTTTATTATTGAAATAATTAATGACGTTTATTTATACCGAAGGACCTTGATAAAAATTTGAAAATGACTAAGGTTTTAATTAATGGAGTAGTAAAAAGATGGATGAGAACCTAATTTCTCATTTTCAAATTAAAAATTGAAATTTGTAGTTGTTTATATTAATGAGATTTTCAAATAAGAAAATTGTTATTAGCACTCTAAACTTTTTATAAGCAGAAAAAAAATACACTTGTGAGAAGTGTATAATGATATTTTTGGAGTGCTAATAATAGCTCTCTTCAGTAAAAATTTTAAAGTATAAAGTATAATTTGTGAATTGAAAATATTATAAATTATACTCTCCAATATATATATATGTGTGTGTGTGTGTGTGACATCCCGTCCCGATATTTATTATATTTAATTCTTAATAGTAGTGAAATTATTAAAATGCCCCTAAGATGCCACGTAGGCCTTTCACATTGACCTCATTTTCACGAACACGTTGTTGCGCACGGAACTTAATTTGAAGTCTATGATTTAGTTACGGTTTCTTTTATAAGAAATAAATTCGAAATTTTACATTTCCTACCCTATTGTTATAATTAAGAGTGGACCCGTATTGAACTTTTATATGGAATTTCGAAATCCCATTTTCGTGATTCACTAGAGTTGTCCCATTTTTCCCATTTTTATAATTTTTTTTATAATTTTTTTTATCACAAATTTGTATTCCTTTCTTATTTAAATTATAGAGGTGTGCTATCCACACACCCCATTTTACTTCTCACACACCCCTTAATAATTTACATCCGTTGATCTTCTTCAATTCATTCGATCCGACGGTTGAAAATTAAAAAGGTGTGTGAGAAGTAAAATGAGATGTGTGGATATCACACCCCTAAATTATATCTTCTTTCAAGTTACTATTCCTATGCTTTTCTCTTCCTGTGTACAATCATTACCGTCACACTTTCTCCCACATCAACCCTCACGTTACTCTCTGCTGTCAATCAATTCACTCCACTCACTTTCACTCTCTTACTCTTTCTCAACTCTCTCCCTCTCTTACCAGTCTCTCACCTTCTACACTCTCCATCTCTCTCAGCCAAACACCACAAAAGCACCACCACCACCCCTAGAGCCACCATAAGCCACTAAAAATTACCTAACTCGTTGCTACCTCTTGGCCCTGTCGAGCTTCGAGGAAAACATAAGTTTTTGTTTCGTATCTCGACAAAATCCTGGACCAAATCACTTCCGTCTTGGTAAGCTTTGACTTTCTTTCTTAAGGTTATTCCTTCAAGTTCTAGTGGATTTTCAGGTATGCATGCATGTATTGGTGTGCATGTAGGCGTTTTCTAACCTTGTTATTTTTCCGGTGAGTTTCCATAGGCTCTCAAATGAAACCCGGACAAATCTCTTTGGTTTGGTCAAGTTTGAAGGTGTGGGATGACTCCACACAACCTCTAGGCCATGGGTTGAGCGTGCATGCTCAAATCCACTTCGAATCCGACGAAATCCAAGAACTTCAACTCAGACCGTGACTTTCCCACTAATTTTTGGTATAATCTTATTCCTTTCATCCTAAGCTTCGTTTTGATAAATAATGTGTCAAATTTGGTTGTGTAACAGCTCCGAACGGGGCATCTGAATTTCTTCCCATATTTTCAACGAAATCATGTTCTTGTGCAAATTAGGGGAAATAAGTTTATTACACTAATTATTATTAGTTTAATTATTAGTGTAACAATTTCCCATATAGGAGAGGACCACCCGGAGGAGTACCGCGAGTAGAATAGTTGTAAGGTTACGATCTACATGTACCTGTGAGTGGGTGTTTGCTTTTAAATATTATATATTTGTTTAGTTTCAATATATATATATATATGTTTAATAAAGAATTTTCTACGTTACACCTAGTTTAGACTAACGATTATAAAAATTAGCGGATTGATGGAATTTATGAAATTATCCTAAATCCTACAGGATGCACAAGTATGCATACTATTATGGGATTCCTTATTTATATTTGCGGCCATGAATAGTATTTTATTGACTAGAGTTATTGAATTACCATTGCATAATCATATTTATGTTAACTGCTCATCATGCATGTTACACTGATGTTAGTACTCGTCCAGGCTAGGGCCAATCTTCACTTGTATGTTCACATCACACCGGACACTCACTTTGGATCCATTGTTGGTGCCAGTCCTATCCTAGATTGCTATAGGCAATTAGGACTCGTATGTGATGCACATAGCGCCAGTCTTCACGTGATTGTAGTACTAGAACGTAAATCATTACTACACCCAGTCATGTTCATGTCCGAATATCTCTGCAGTGTGTCAACATATGTTAATGAGTACCTGATATTATAGGTTCATTATACGAGATACTGTGATCACTGGATGTTATATGTCTTACATGTGAAATATTGCAATTCACCATTGAAGTATTATTGTTTATGGTAAGTGTTTTCATACTATATGTAGTATATATATTTGGAAACTATACTTGTTTTACAACAAGAGGTTATACGTTTTCGAAAAGATTTTTACCAATCTTTATTTTCAAGCCCACTCACCCTTGTTTTTCGCCCCTTTAGGATTTAGTGGCAGCGCTCTTATGTTGACGAGGATTCCTGGCAAAAGTTGATTTCGGAGACTACTTCTGATGGTATATTTCTCATTCTAATTTTACTGTATTTTACTTATGCTTTGACATTACGTGTGAAATGGGTTCAATCCTGCTCACATGCGCACTCTTGCATTTAGTCACTTTTAGGTTTAAATTTATTCACATTATTCTATATCATTACACTTTATGACTTTGTCACATTTCTGGTGTTGGCTAGCACAACTCGATTCGGAGTTCAGATGGACCTTCTGGGTCGGGGTGTATCAATTTGGTATCAGAGCATAAGTTTAGGTAGTACTGCATTCATCACATGCGTGATGTAAACATTCTCAATTCTTGAACCTAATGTTGAATCTTGACATCTCATCGAGCACGAAAAACGTTTAGCTTTTCCTAAGTTTTAGGTCATTTGGGCAACTTATCGACTTTCTAGAAGAACATTTTGGCAACCGTCTCTAGATTTTAAGCGTAGAACATCTATGCCAAGGAGAATCCCAAATTGGAAATGAGTTGATGGCCCTGAAGTAGGACTGATGTATCTATAGTTATGTACCACCATAGATTTTACCATTCAATCCCATTACCTTCATGCCATTATCCAGTCATTTCTACACCTTTTCAAGATTGGAGACGGTAAATAATTTTGATCCTTGGCACTGCCCGTTTAGTATATCACCTATTAAAATTCCAACAAAATTTTACTTTTCAATGAATTTCAAAAAATGTCTCGAACAACAAGGTGGTGCTAAAGTAGTAGCACTCAACGGAAGAACATCTGGTGGACAGTCATTTTTGGTCTCCGATGTCATTAATCCTTCAAACGCACTAGTTATAGTTCCGGATCATGAGGAAGATCGAATTACGTTAAACCTCATTCTGAAATAGATTATCAACAAATTCCTTTTCCCGACCTTTGGTTACTTTAACCAGCACTTGTTCCCCGAATTTACCTTCGATGTTGTACCCGTCACTACGGTGTGTATTGGCAAGGGAATATAAGTTGTTATTCCTATGATTGGCAGAAATACTAGAAGCGGTAGTAGTTTTGTCTAGAATTAGCTGAACCAAATCACATGACCAATTCCTTACCAATCAACCTAAGTTATCCATCGAAGCAAACTTTAACCTGTTGTCAACCTAGGGTGGTGCTACTCATTGACGATACTGTTCGGTATCCAGGAGCTGTCAACCAATATTCAGGCGATATGATTTCTGATACTGGACACATACTAGTATATGGGAGTGATACATTTATTCCATAACTCCGGTTCACAGTTTCAGGGTGGCGAACAATATTAAAATATTTTGAATGTGTCAATTAACAGCGCGATTAATAAATTGACTAACAGTGACAACCTGAGCCGAAGAAATTAAAATTGTGGAAACTTATGAACAAGTCTTGTAGGACGAATGTAAACCTGCAATTGTATTACTTATATCACCCACCTTGGTGACCAAAATATTCTCGACTTAATTATGAGTACATATTTAGGACACCTTCTCTAGGATTTCAATCGATTAGGGAACCACTCAATCTTTCACATCATCCTTAGCTATTCAAATATTTCAATCATGAGATACCTTAGTTGGGTACGTCTTTTGAATCCCAATGCCACAAGGTAAAGTTTGTCTTGTCCCGTGCAAATGCGGTGGATGCACCATTCATTTTACCAATCCGATGATACCAGTTAATTTATTTTGTTGGATATTGTGGAGGGTTGAATTGACTACCTGTAACTATCTCTTCGGGTGAAGCATTGACCAAAAACGGCAATTTTTTTCCCCGACTACTAGTAATCCATATAGTAACTTTCATAAGCAAATGTTAGAAACTGAAGTATGAGTTAATTTCCCGCCATAAGGGCGAAATGAATATTAAGAAAGTTGTGAAGGCCAATTAGTATGTGTGTCCTATTAGTGTGTGTTGTGGAGAAAGAAGGTAGTTTGGTACTATTAGAGGACGTATATCCTAGCTTTATTTCTCAAAATTACCACCAAAGCGTGAAGTAGAGCACACCATCGATTCGTTTTCTAGTATAACACCAATTCTCCTTGAATCTTATCAAATAACTCCTCCATCGTTGAAATAACTTAGTTACAAAAGCTTACTGATTAGGGAGTTATCCAACCCAACATGTTTTCTTAGGGAACCTCAAACCTATTCACGAAGACGAAAATCGAACCTTAGGGTTGTACCTAGATTTTAGGTACTTCAATCGAGCAACGATTAAAAACCATTAAACCATGATTCGAATTGATGGTCTATTCGACCAACTTAGTAGAACCTGAATTTACTTCAAGTTGATCTCAGTCTAGTTACGACCAGCTGACAACTAGAAGCAACAATATTTCCTAGACTGCGTTCAAGACTTGAATGACCATTATAAGTTATTTGTAATGTTCTTCGGGTTGACGAATACTCCAATGACTTTTAGGAACCTAACGGACTAGACATTCCACCCATATTCTGATGGATTCAACGATCAAGTTCTTCAAATGTTAACCTTGTTTAGATCAGGTACTTTTCTTGGTAGACGTGATCTCAACAGACAATATTCTTTTCATTTCCCCAAAATGTTGTAGCTGAAGAAAATTGAAATCCTCACAAAGTGTTGCGAAATACGAAATATTATTGGTTTTGACGAAGACTATTAGTGATTTGTTAGTTATGGCGTTTTTCCTCACAAGTTGGCTGAGGAAAGTTAGTTTAGTTTCAGACTTTGAAAGTGAATAAAGTTTCTGACAATTGAGGTGTTGTCTCACTTGACTTTTGTCTTACATTTTTCGATGGCATTGATAATTTTCGAAACTCTACAGTGATGTTTCATTGAATGTTTTTGTTTGGGCGCTACTGCAGCATGACGTGTATTGCTTATGCCTCCTGACTGTTGGAACCGTATGTAGTGAACTACCTTAATTCCGATCTAGAGTTAATGATTACCTTCTTTACTTGAAAATCCGATGACACTTCTCCGTGGAGAAATGTGTCAAAGTTTTTACCGACCTCGTAAACTTGTCAATTACATCTTCACTTAAAATGAGCTTAATTGCAGACAATGGCGATGGAAAAAAAAGAAGAAAAAAAATCAACATCTATGATTGCACCATCGTGTACTACCCCGGTTATGCAAACGTAGTTGCTAACGACTTCCTTAGCAGAGAAACACATTGATGACTTAGCCGTTTATCTCATTTTATTTACAACTCATGAGTATTGATGTAACATTACTTACAAATCATTAGGAAACTTTGTTAGCTAATTTCCAAGTTTGACCATTCTACTTTTGACTTGAGATAGCTAATTTCCAAGTTCGACCATTCTACTTTTGACTTGAGATGAAAAAGGAGATTGCTTAGTTACTAAGAAAATACCTGATTTGTCAGCAAGTCAAAGCAGAAAGAAGAAATTGTTCGAGTTGTTGTAGTCACTCCTTAAATCCACATGGATATGAGAGAATATCACCATGGACTTCATGCACGAGTCACCCTGTACACGTGGAGACTATGATGATGTTTTGGTGATTGTCGATCGACTTACTAGGGTGCCCATCTTCTTTCGGTCCATGAAGACACCTTCTAGACCACTTAGCAGAACCCTGTCCCACATTTATTCTTATTTTATTTCTTAACGCTGAAAAATTACGAAACACCCTTGGCGAGCCTAAGTGGAAATCCTAAGTGGATTTCATGCGTGGAGATTTGAGTCCTTGTGAGTCCTTGTCACTTTTTGTTTATTTTCTCATCTTTCTAGGTAATACGTGTTTTTACGAACACGTGAGTGCGAACGAGGTGTATATTGCACGATTTATGCACTTTTCCCATCGAGGGGCAAAATAGTAATTTTGTACTCTCATGGTTTCATTACTTGTATATCAAGACAACAGTAAGTTGTCGTTATTGTAGGCTACATACTGTGATATTGATGGCCTATTCATTGGGTTTGTTAAGCAAGTGGGAAAGTAGGCCTGTCTCTGGTAATTAGGCCTCGTGCCTAATTAATTATTGTTTGGATTGACCCAAAGACACACACCTACTCTCGTAGTGCTCGTCACTACAATCGCATGGACAAAAGAAATACAGAATTCAGAAAAACCACTCGACTGAAGAGGCTGCATGGGAAACGGAGAAACGTGTGAGAGACTTGTATTCGCACTTCTTCTTTGATTAAATTCTTTTGTTTTAGTTTCGAGGATTAAATTTTCTTAAGGAGGGTAAATTGTGACATCCCGTTCCAAGATTTATTATATTTATCCTCAATAGTAGTGAAATTATCAAAATGCCTCTGAGATGCCACGTAGGCCTTCCATCTGGACCTCAATTTTCTTTTCATTTTTCCACTCTTATTTTACTATTTCGAAAAAGTGCTCATTTTAACAAACACGTGGTTGAAGATGGAACTCAATTTGGAGTCTATGATTTTTTAATGATTTCTTTTATAAGAAATAAATTAGAAATTTTATATTTCCTACCCTATTGCTATAATTAAGAATGTGACCTGCGTTGAACTTTTATATGGAATTTGGAAAGGAAATTGTTATTAGCATTCTAAAAATCTCATTCTACACTCTAACTTTATATATTTGGAAAGAAAATACACTTATGAGGAGTGTATAATAAGATTTTTGAAGTGCCAATAACACTTCCTTTTGAAAATCCCTTTTTTGTGATTTATTGGAGTTGTCCCATTTTCCCTTCTTCTTATTTTTTATTTTTTATTTTTTTATTTTTTTATTTTTATTTTTTATCACCAACATGTATTCCTTTCTTATTTTAATTACATTTTCCTTCAAGTTCCTCTTCCCTATGCTTTTTTCTTCCTGTGCACCATTACTCTCACACTATCTTCCACATCAACCCTCACATCACTCTCTCCCGTCACTCAATTCACTCAACTCACTTTCCCTCTATTACTCTTTCTCAACCCTATCTCTCTCTCTCTCTTACCCGTCTCTCTCACCCTCTACACTCTCCATCTCTCTCGGCCAAACACCATAAAAGCACCACCACCACCCCTAGAGCCACCACAAGCCACTAAAAATTACCTACTACCTCTTGGTTGTGTCGGGCTTGGAGGAAAACAGAATTTTCTATTTCATATCTCGATGAAATCCGACTAACCAAACCACTTCCGTCTTGGTAAGCTTCGATTTTCTTTCTCAAGGTTATTCCTTCAAGTTCTAGTGGATTTTCAGGCATGCATGCATGTATTGGTGTGCATGTAGACGTTTTCTAACCTCGTTTTTTTCCAATGAGTTTCCATAGCCTCTCAAATGAAGCCCGGACAAATCTCTTTGGTTTGGTCAAGTTTGAAGGTGTGGGATGACTCCCCACAACCTCTAGGCCACGGGTTTGAGCATGCATGCTCGAATCCACTTCGAATCCGACGAAATCCAAGAACTTCAACTCGGACCTTGACTTTCCTACCAATTTCTAGCGACCTTCGGACAGTTTTTGGTGCCAAATTAGTATAGTGTTATTCCTCTTGTCCTAAGCTTCGTTTTGATTTATTATGTGTCAAATTTGGTTGTGTAACAGCTCTGAACAGGACGTTTGAATTTCTTTCCAAATTTTTGACAAAAATCCCATTCTTGTGCAAATTGGGGGAAATAAGTTTATTACACTAGTTATTATTAGTTTAATATAATTTCCCGTATAGGAGAGGACTACCCGGAGGAGTACCGCGAGTAGAATAGTTGGACGGTTATGATCTGCATGTACTTGTGAGTGGGTCTTTGTTTTTAAATATTATATATTTGTTTAGTTTCAATATATATATGTTTAATAAAGAATTTTCTACGTTATGCCTAGTTTAGACTAACGATTATATGCATTAGCAGATTTACGAAATTTATGAAATTATCCTAAATCCTACGGGATGCATATGTATGCATATTAATATGTGATTTCTTATTTATATTTGAGGCCATGAATAGTATTTTATTGACTAGAATTATCGAATGACCGTTGCATAATCATATTTATGTTAACTGCTCATCGTGCGTGCTACACTGGTGTTAGTACTCACCTGGTCCTCTGCAGTGTGTCAGCATATGTGAATGAGTACCAAATGTTATAGGTTCATTATGCGAGATATTGTGATCACTAGATGTTATATGTCTTACATGTGCAATATAACGATTCATCGTATCTCTGAAGTATTACTGTTTACGGTAAGTGTTTTCATACTATATGTAGTATATATATTTGGAAACTATATTATTTTACGGCGAGGGGTTATACGTTTTCGAAAAGATTTTTATCAAACTTTATTTTCAGGCTCACTCACCTTTGGTTTTTACTCCTCTAGGATTTAGTGGCAGTGTTCTTATGTCAACGAGGATTCCTGGTAAAAGTTGATCTCGGAGACTACTTTTGATGGTATATTTCTCATTCTAATTTTACTGTACTTTACTTACGTTTTGACATCACGTGTGAATTGGATCAATTCTTCTCACATGCGCACTCTTTCATTTAGTCACTTTTAGGTTTAAATTTATTCACAATTTTTCATATCACTACACTTTATGGCTTCATCACCCTTCTAGTGTCGACCAACACAACTCGATTCGGAGTCCAGGTGGACCTTCTGGGTTAGGGTGTTATATATATATATATATATATATATATATATGTACACACACACACACACACATAATCCCGGGTACATTCTTCATGTTGTCACCAAGAAAATAGCAAAAAGCTTTTGTGAGCGTAAAACCTAATTGCACTAGAAAACTGGGAGAATTCTTATTGAATTGAATAACACTTGTGACTATTAAATAGCCTTACAACAAAATCAGAAAGGAAATAACAACCCACGATTTACAAGGCCTAAGATCGTGGTGCATGACTAGGTCAGAAACAGAAAATGTAATCTTGTCCCTCAAGTATAGGAGAGATTATTTGCATGGATAAAACTAAACCCTAAAAACAAGGAACCCTAACCCTAACAGCTAGGAGATTCCAACAACTTTAACATCCTCCCTTAAATTGAATGTTATGGACAATCAGTTTATTCCAGGGTATTCACAAACACCCATTGCTTCTCGCATCTTTGAAAAAATTTCGAACTTCAACGGTTTAGTCATAATATATGCAATTTGCTCCTGGGTAGAACACTGTTTTAGCTCCACTACTTCATCATTGACCAGATTTCGAAGAAAATGAAAACGAACGTTTATGTGCTTGCTACAACCATACATTACTGGATTCTTTGAGAGTTTGATGGTTGAAATGTTGTCACAGTACACCACCGTAGATTCAGATTGCACATGACTTAAACTTTTCAAAATTCTCCTTAACCAAACAACTTGACAAGCACTTGATGCTATAGCAATAAACTCAGCTTCGGTGGTAGAAAGAGTAACCATTGGCTGTTTCTTTGAAGACCAAGATACTGCACTTGAATTCATCATAAAGACATAGCCTGACGTACTTTTTCTGTCATCCTGATCTCCGGCATAGTCACTGTCCGTGTAACAAAAAAACTTTTCATCTCCTCTAGTCCTATAAAACACCCTAAAACTAGATGTTCCATTCACATACCTTAGAATGCTCTTTGATGCCATTAAATGAGATTTAGTGGGACGTTCCATGTACCTACTGATTAGACTTACAACAAACATCAAATCAGGGCGTGTGGCTGTCAGATACATGAGACTTCCCACCATTTTCTTGTAAAGAATACCATCAACTATCACTCATTCTTCATTCCCTTGTGAGTTTGAAACTAGGAACCATTGGATTTTGCACCGAGTTGCACTGATCCATGTTGAATCTTTCCAGAACCTCTTAAGCGTACTTTCATTGGCTTATAAAGATTCCATCTTCCTTTTGCAACACTTCAATTCCCAGAAAGTATCTCATTTTTCCAAGATCAGTCATGTTGAATTCAACCATCATGGACTTCTTAAATTGTTCAATCGCAACTTCATTATTCCCAGTAAATATAAGATCATCAACATACAGATAAACAATCAATATTTTACCTCCACTTGCTGTTTTAGTGAACAAAGTATATTCGTAGGGGCATTTGTTGAAGCCTTCTTTGACAAAATATGATTCTATGCGACTGTACCAAGCTCGAGGAGCTTGTTTGGGTCCATACAACGCTTTCTTGAGTCGATAAACTTTTGATTCTTCCCCTTTCTGTTCATAACTTGGAGGTTGATCAATAAACACTTCTTCATTAATTTCTCCATGCAAAAAGGCCGATTTGACGTCAAGTTTCAACCAACTTTTCTGTGCAGCAAGAGAGAACACCATATGAATTGTGTCCAAGCGAGCCACTGGTGCAAATACTTCTGCATGATCGACTCCATATTGTTGGTTGTATCCCTTAGCAACTAGCCGCACCTTATAATTGTCTATTTCCCCATGCTGATTAAGTTTTGTTTTAAAAATTCACTTCACTCCAACATTCATTCATCTTGATGGCAGATTTGTTAGTTCCCATGTCTCATTCCTCTCTATTGCTTCAATTTCTTGATATATCTCAATTTTTCACTTTTCATTGCCTCTTCATATGTCATTGGATCACAATTAGTGAACAAAGCTAGCTGAGCTATATTCACACCTTCTTCATCGGAGAGACCTTGACCAGTTTCATAGTCTCTCATCTATGCAAGGGGTCTTCGTGTTCGTCGTTCTGGAAGTGAGTCGTCGACATTTAAAGTGTCTCACTTGAAAAAATTGTTGTTGTCGGACCCATTTTCCTCTAGTTCTTCAACTGCCTCAGACTCATCTTCATTGTTTTCCTCTTCTATACTTGCTTCTTCATCGAGTTCCCATTCTAAATCAGCCAATATGGCTTGCTTGTGGTCATCATCCCAACTCCACTCTTGGTCTTCTTCAAAGACCACATCTCTACTAATAATTATCTTTTTTGAGATAGGATCAAATAGCCTATAAGCTTTAGATTCTTCACTTACCCCTAGAAATACACATTTGAGACTTTTGGCATTAAGCTTCACTCTCTTGTGGTCAGGTACATGGACATGCGATATACAACCAAAGACTCTGAAATGCTCCACTGATGGTTTAAGTCCATTCCATGCCTTTTCAGGTGTCTTGCTCTTCACGGCAAGAGTTGGACTCATGTTCAGCACATGCATCATCCAATTCACGGCTTCAGGCCAAAAGGTTTTAGGAATTCACTTATCCGACAACATACTTCGTACCATATTCATAATGGTTCGATTTTCCTCTTGGAGACACCATTTTACTAGGGAGTGTATGTAGCAGTCAATTGTCTGTGTATCTCATTCTCATTCTCATTACCAACTGAAGACTTTTGGAAGCCCTCCATAAGATTTCCTTTAGGAATGGATCACAGTGCTGTCTTCTTACTAGACAGCCTTCACATACTCGTTGAATGGCTTTGAACTTTGGTAACCCTTCCACCATTTTCTTTTGCTAGAGTACTTTGAGTCCATTCCAGATGAGGTATCCATATCGACGATGCCAAAGAGTGGCCTGATCCGTGGTCAGAGAGGAGAAACACTTAGTCTCTCTTCGTGGTGGGCAGTGGGCGAGCACAATAAACATTCTATTCTAAGTCATCTCAGTTTCAATGATTAGACCCTTCTCAGGATGAAAGATCTTACATTTTCCTTGTTGAATAAGCACAACGAGTCCCTTTTCTTGCAGCTGCCCGATGCTTAACAGATTTTTCTTCAGTTTTGGTACAAAGAAAACACTCGTGATCTCGTGAACTATTCCATTCATCTTTACTCGAGTTGTGCCTTTGCCTTGTACAATAAGACTCGAATCATTTCCCATCTTCACTGATTCTTTGAAACTGCTATCAAAGTCAATAAATATATACTTCTTGCCACACATATGGTTGCTGCACCTAGAATCAAGGAACCAAATGTGCTCAGTTTCAGCTTCCTTGAAATCAACATGCACCATTAATAACATCTATTCTTTTGTCTCTGCATAGTTTGCTTGTTGATCTCTTGCTTTCTTTGGGCATTCCCACTGAAAATGCTCGAGCTCATGACAATTATAACACTTTAGGGTTGATTTATTAAACCCAAATCAACCCCTTCCTCATCCTCTTCCATGATGGGTACTTCGACCTCCTGAAGTGACTTGCAGCGCTTGTTCTTCCACTACAATATGGCGGCTAATTCTTTGTTCATGCACCAAAAGACTACTTTGAAGCTCATCAATGGACAAAGTATCCAAGTCATTTGATTCCTCAATATAACATACAACATAGTCATATTTCATAATCATAGACCTCAAGATCTTCTCAATGATCACCACATCCTCTATATGCTCTCCATGAATCCTCATCTTATTAGCAATGATAAGAGTTCTTCCAAAATAGTCGTTGATCGACTCTCCAACCTTCATGTGCAGCACTTGAAATTCTTTTCGAATAGCCTACAATTGGGCATGTTTTACACATGTTGTTCCTTGATATTTCTGCTTCAACAAATCCCAGATATCTTTCGCAGTGTCCTTCTTCAAATCGAACAATCAATGGCTTGAAACAAGTAGTTCTTGCACTTCAAGTCTTTCAACTTCTGATCTTTAATCACTTTCTTCTATGCTTCGCTTGAATCGGCTCTTTCTGCTGCTGTAGTGATTCCCGTCTCCACCAAGTTCCAATACTCTTTGGAACGTAGAAAATTTTCCATTAGCATACTCCAGTGATCATAGTGTCCATCAAACTTCGGAATGGCAGGTTGCACGAAACTACTTTCAGACGTCATCTCGTTGTTCCTTCACACTAGTTACTTTGTTGCAGGCTTTGATCAGCCCCAGTGGTGGGGCTCTAATACCAGATGTTGTAACCAAGAAAATAGCAGAAAGCTTTTGTGAACGTAAAACCTGATTGCACTAGAAAAGTGGGAGAATTCTTATTAAATTGAATAACACTTGTGGCTGTTAAATAGCCTTACAACAAAATCAGAAAGGAAATAACAACCCATGATTTACAAGGCCTAAGATCGTGGTGCATGACTAGGTCAGAAACAAAAAATGTAATCTTGTACCTCAAGTATAAGAGAGATTATTTGCATGGATAAAACTAAGCTCTAAAAACAAGGAACCCTAACCCTAACGGCTAGGAGATTCCAACAACTTTAACACTTCAAAACCACCAAAAAAAAAAAGAAAAAAGAAAAAAAAAGAAAAAAAAAGAAAGATAGTAAGCTTAATAACATTAGGAAATTTCTCCCATTAAATTTGACATGGATGCATTCTCATATCTACTAAAAAGAATGTTCCCATATAAGTTTAAAATGGTTAGAAAAAAATCGAATGGATCTTATTTACAAATGGGTACATTTATATTAAAAATTGATACATTTTACATATAACAAATTGGTATATTTAAAAACAGATACATTTAAGATTAAAAAATTGAAAAATTATATGAATGAGTACAACTACAAATAGGTGGTGTAGTCGATAGAGGGATAATTTGGAGTTTTAAAACTACAAATAGGTGTAGTTTAGGAATTGAATAAATTCATTAAAGTGAAATGCTTCTTAAAAAAAACACTTCAAGTGCTTCTACTTTCAGCTGAAAACGCTTTTGAAAATTTTGTAAACAGCAATTTTTAAATTTAAAGTTATAAAGTGTTTTTAATCTTCCAAAGGAACCTTCAAATGAGTTATTTAAAACCCATAAACATTTCTAGTTGAATCTGTCAAACGCTGAGCTTTTACCCTTTTAAAAATAATGTCAAACATGTCCCAGGCTTAACTGATTAATCAACTCAGTAACGATCAACTGATTAATCAACTCGGTTATTGAATCCACGATGTCACCGCTTATCTCTGTCCAGTGTGAATTCAAGAGCCACTAAACTAATGTGTTGCACTTGCACATAGGCAGGCTATGCAAAAGCTAATCATATACACAGCAGCTTCTGGTTGTCATCTTAATTTGGACTGATACGGCTGTGCAACAAGGAATTTAAATTACATTTTTTTTAACAAACGATATTATCTGTCTTAAGAGAATGGGAAAATGTGCTAAGTCTCACACTGGATTAGTCATAATAATGTAGTTCAAATTGATGTACTTTGTAATCATATTAGAGGCAAGTCATCTTAACAATTTATAACATGAAAAATGTTTAGTCTAGTCTCGTATATGGCAGTGTGACTAATTCACGTTATATTTACTGTTAGAAATCAACTCGTATGACCAATCGAGCACCCATCGTTTAACATTTGTGGCACATATCGCGATCTCAAGTTGAATTAGTGCACAATTAACATGATCTTTTAGCTCATGACTCAAGCTTAAGACTTGAGTAAATTGTGTTTGACTTGACGACAGGCTTGGTTCTTGAGTTGAAAAATGAGAAGACTCCCATGACATGTTGATAGATCAAACTCACGATGACAACACAACTATTGATACATATCTTGTGAAAATATACAATGTCAATTTCATCACATCTTTGGAAATATTTTCTTTGCACTGAATTTGTGCACTACAATATTCCACCTCCAAATTGTGGTAGCAAGTCAAAATCAACCCAAATTTTTTCCATACTTTGGTCTCATATATATAATATATTATTTTTCACTATATAAGAGTAAAGTTAGGGATAACACATTTTTGTACCACATTTGACAAATAAGGCATTTATATAACAAACATCTAATAAGATAAACTCATACAGTGAAATAACACATATACATCACATGTCATACCAGATAGTACAACAGTGCATACAAATTTGTGGTTGCTATAGTTTTTTTTTTTTTTTTTAACAAAAAAGTTTAGGAAGAGGGGAGGCTACCCCATTTTAGGGGCAGCACATGCCACAAACTTCCTTGAGAACTTTTTATAAAAAAACTAATGGTACAACTTATTCTAATTTTATTTTGGAAATGTTTTGAATTGAAAATTAATTAGGAGTTTAATAAAGGTGTGAGTATTAAAACCCTAAATCAACTACTAATTTTTATTTAAAAAAATTATGTAATCGACATATAAATTCATTATTACATTAATGCTAGGGACTTCAATAAAAAACTAAAAACTAATAAGGTCTCAATTAATGAACATTAGTAACTAGGAAACGCTCAAACGGATTCTAATTATCTCAAGTTAAAACTAATCTTATGAATAATCAAGCATATATATCTGAAAAATATTTGAGGTTCAAGCTCTATATATTTTCAAAACAAAATGGAGAAGTAGACAATTATATAGACAGAGAAGGAGAAGACAGCAACAATATGCTACCATAAGAGAAGAGGAGAAGCCTTTTCTACTACATAACCCCTCAAGCTCGCAACTGCTCCTAACAATATGGCAGATGGTTTTGTGTATTGCAACAAAAGAACGAATCGATAGAATTGATCATCTGCTACCAAAAGGTTCAATTTATCCGAAAACAGAACCACATCAATCCCAATCAAAGGAAGTACCAAAAGCCTTGCAACAATAATCCTAATTGTATTCTCATTCCTAGATTGGATTCGTTCGGACCTTCTGCGAGCATTCCTCCAAGAACAAGCACAGCTGAAGGCACCATGGCCTAAACTACAATTTCCAAGCTGTTTGTGATTCCAGCTGCTGCTGCAAGGCCCAGCAAACGGGCTAGGCATCTTTGGCCTACTGGTATCCACTGATTTTTAGCTCAGCCTTTGATTGGAGTTGGATTTTGTCTAAATCAGGCATTTTATCTAATTTATTTTGGCTACTATATTCCAAGGCCAGAGCATACCACAAGCTTTTTGGAGGATTTATGCAGGGAGTTTTAGCCCACCAAGAGGAGTTGCCAGTATTGAGACTCGAACCTAAATCTTGATCGAGAGAAGAAAACGATCATTACCAACTCAACTGAAAAAACCAAATTATTGTATGTAATAATTGTATTTTTTCGGTTGGAAGTAATTGTAGTAAAAGTCAAGACAGCACCAACTACACGTGCCCAAACAAAATAACACACCATAAGACGAACAAGATTATCGGTGAAACAAAAGGCAAAGGGAAAAAACAGGCAAAGCGTAATACCACATAGCAAATTATAAATTATCATCATTAAGCGCGGAAGATTTATTTAGTTATTTTCATTCGCTATCGTAATTTAATTTTTTATAGCTAATCATAATAAATTCATGTCGGACTCATTATTCATAAGAATCGAACCTAATACATCGCACAAAATATAGCAATAAATGAAGAAATCATTATTTATTTTGTTATTTACTTTTTATACTAACGATATTGGAAGAAAAATGGATTCAAAGTTTCAAACAGAAGACGAGAGGTGAAGTGGACATTAGTGTCGATTTATATATAAAAAATTTAGAATCAGCATTGTCGCACCTTGTAAGCAAAGCCTCTTAATTTTATATGTATATATATATATATATATATATACAGGGAGCTTAAGGGGAGGGATCCCCATTTTTTCAAAAAAAATGGGGACACGTTCCCCACCGTTAGATTGACTTTAATGAAATTGTGTGGTTGAGATTAAAACACAGGCCATAGAATCTCAACCACAGGATTTCATTTAATTCAAATCCAACGGTAGGGAGCGTGTCCCTATTTTTTTTAAAAAATGGGGATCCCTCCCCTTAAGCAATTCCTATATATATATATATATATATATATATATATATATATATAAAATTTGTTTTCATCACTATATAACTTAGAAGTTCTAAATATTTGCATTGACACGCAATAGCCTGCTTTTTTCTTGCTTGGAACTAAAAGTAATGCACCAAATGCATTCTTTTTTTAGACGTAACGATAATATTTTATTATAATATTAGGAGAAAATTCGAGATAACATCCAAAATGACCTCAATCAAAGAAAAACAGTGGCACCAAATTCATGCTTAATTCATTATTAACATCTACCATCTCCCATACATGCAGAGTTAAATTTACCTTTAGTGCTCAATTCTTGTTCATTAAAGTGAGATAGAGTTGAATTTATGATCAAATATAGCTTTCATAATTTCTAAGGACTGGTTTGGAATGGTGGTGCTGTCAATAACAGTATAAAAGCATAAAAAAGTAGAATAGGGTCTACTATGCTTCTAAAAAAAGTGTTGTTGGTCGCACAACCACGACAAGTGGCCCAATGGAAAAACATGAGAAAACCAACTCCCTAAAGGAAAAAAATGGGAGGTTTTGGGTTCGATGCTTGATAAGCTGTGAATCTACTTAATTGTGGCCACATCCCACAGGTATGGTGCAATTCCAACTAGCCTCCTCTGGGCCTGGAGGAAAACTGTGTTTCACCACCAATTGACTTTTTTTTAGGGACGTGATATCCACACACCCATTTTTACTTCTTTCACACCCTTTTAATTTTCAGTCATCGGATCGGATGAATTGAAAAAGATCAAAGGACATAAATTAACAAGGGATGTGGGAGAAGTAAAAATGGGTGTGTGGATAGCACTCCTCTTTTTTTAAAGGTTGTGGGTCACACTTTTAACTTTTGAGTTACATCTAAATTTAAATATAACTTAGCGTATAACTCCAAAATCACTCCAACTATTCTGATGCATCGAAGAGGGACTGACAAATTTAGAGTTAAAAATAACATTTGACTCTCAATTTATCGCCCTATTGGAGATACTCTTATGAGTTAGACTATATAGAATTCAAAAGTTATAGAATCTTTAAAGGTGGTGCTATCCATTTTACCATTCACACACTCCTCTTTAATTTCCGACAGTCGGATTGAATAAATTTAAGATATTCAAATGACATTAATTAACAAGAGGTATGTAAATATCATCACTCTCTTTAAATGATGATTAAGAAAATGAACGGATTTGACTATAAAATTTGTATAGTGCAAATGGATAAATGCAAGAGGTGGACAAGGTGGTTCCTTAATGAAGTGGATGCAATATAAAAAAATACAGAATAATGGCTTGAGTTGTCATCTGAAGGTAATTATTTAAATTAATTTTCTTGCAATTGTAACTAAATTTTAGCATAAACATAGAGAGTTGTTAGAGTTGCACAATGCACTACTATTATACAGATGATATCAAGATCTCAACTGCGTTATAATATTTTCATCAATTTACATTGAGAAATTATATTTACACACCCCAAATTACTTCTCCCACACCCTTTTTAATTTTTTAATATTTTCTACACACCACTAACACTTGATAGAAAAATATTAAAAAATTAAAAAGGTGTGAGAGAAGTAATTTGGGGTGTGTGAATATAATCTCCCTTTACATTTGTGCTTAGTCTAAATAAACTTTATTCATCACCTACCACATCGTTCATTAATTGGATTTTTTTTTTTTAATCCATTAATTGGATTTTTTGGTAGTTAATAAATTAATATTGCGTGAAGCAGGTTTGCCAGAGAGGTTAAGGGGCCAGACTTAGGACTTGGATTGTCTGCCCTCCCCATCCCATACCCTCCCCATGCCCTTCTATATTATGTGGTCACGGTTAAGCCACATCAACATTTTATATTCCCATTACTTTTTGTCTTATTATTTTTATAAAAAAATCAATATAAAATGTTGACATGGCTTAACCGTGACCATAGAATATAGGAGGGTATGGGATGGGAGGGCAGAAAATCCAAGTCCGCAAACTTAAGATCTGATGTACTATAAGTCATGTACTACAAAAGAAAAAAGTAAAATTAATTAATTTTGTCGTTTAGTATTACAATCTATTAGTATTTTTCTTCAATTGTAAGTGAGAGATCTTAGGTTCGATTCTCGCCAAATGCGAATTTGAACCATATTATTGTTAGTTCATTGCTAGGCTAAGCTCATCCCCTTCCCCCTTGAGAAATTATAATATAGTATTGTAATACCCACATCAGCCGTGATACTTCCATTCAAATTTAGCCATGTGTCATTATTTTTATACAGCTGAAATTTAATATCATTTTTACTTTTTAAATAAATCTAAAAATGAAAAACAAAAAATAGGAGATCGTATTCCTTCCCATGATGTGGATCTCTCTCTTTCCCTCATCTGGGTCTCTCAAAGACGCAAGAACAGAGTCACAGAGGACATCGTATTACTCCTGCGTTTTTTGTCTTTGGAAGAAGCAAAACATGCAAGAAAGCAACCCATGATTTCAATATCTCTCTCTTCCCCTCCTCTGGGTCTCTCAAAGATTGTGTCTTTCTGCAAAACATGACCCAAACTTCATTTCCTACTCCCTCTCTCTCCCTGTTTATTTTATTTAAATTTCATTTCATTTGGGATAGGTGGTTTTTGGAATTGGGGTTAGAGTGTGATAGGATACTGCCAAGTGGCTTGATAAGATGATGACATGTGTACATGGTTGTTAGTAGTTAGTTAGTAGGTAGAAGATAAATAGCAGGTTGTAGCAATTGGAAAGGCGGTTAATGAAATTGTATTGTTGTTCTCATGTTCTGTTTCCTATCTCTCTGTGCAATTCTGGAGGATGTAGAGTAGGGTTCTAACAGAGTGGGATAGGTAGTTTCTAGAATTGCGAAAGGTTTTCTTTGGTTTTTACAATTTTTAATTTTTAATTATTTAAATTAAAAAGGTAAAAAAGCAAAACCAGTTCATTTCCAACTGTACAAAATAGGAACACATGTCAGATTTTAAGTGGGAGTACCACAAGTGTAACATCCCACATCGCCCAGAGGAGTGGATCTTGTAAGCCTTATATGTATATTCACATCTTTACCTAGCACGAGGCCTTTTGGGAGCTCACTAGCTTCAGATTCTATCGGAACTCCGAAATTAAGCGAGTTCGCGCGAGGGCAATCCCATG